TAGAATTTAGTATGTAAACGATTCAGAAACAAGAAGAAAGCAGTTACCATTAGATCGTGACATCACCATTAAATTAAAGCATTATATCTACCATTAGACTATGAAGTCACCATCATATTATACAGGAAACAGTTAAAAATAATATTATAAATGCAAAGGAGATACCTGTATGTAGGTTATGAAGTCACCATCAGATTGTGATATTAGGTTATGAAATTACCACCAGATTATGTAATTAGATTATGAAATTACCAGCAGACTATGAAGTTACCATTATATTATGAAATTACTGGCAGACTATAAAGTTACTACTATATTATGAAGTCACCGGCAGACTATGAAGTTACCACTATATTATGAAGTTACTAATAGACTATGAAGTTACTTTCATAACCTAATCTAAATCACATGTGACTAAATGCAATCACATTTTAATCAGAATCAAAAAAAACTATATATAAAGGTAGTGTCTGCAGGGGTGAAGGTTAGGGATGTTGATGGTAAAATTAGTTTTTTTGCATAAAATATATGAAATTCAAGAAGTTTTTATTTCTAACAAAACCTTTTAACTATAGATCAGAATTGTAAAAAAAAGTATTGTTTAAAAGAGAAAAAAAAAGTACATAATCTAGCTTAATATTAACTATTAACAAAAAATTATAAAATAATCTCAATTTAAAAAATGAAAAAATTATGTTTTTATAAATTTTTGAAAAATTTAAAAAATTTAAAAAACTTCTATATAAGCATACTTCCTTAAAATCAACTTTTTTAGTAGTTTCAAAGCCTATTACTATAAAGAAAGATGACTGTATATAAAATTTAATAAATAAATTTCAGATTCTTATATATTATTATATGATTTAATTTTATTGGAAGCACTTTAAGCACGTGATTTATAATTTATCCAATCTTCCAATAAAAATCTATTGGTATTGGAAGACTTGGAATTGGAAGAATTGTAAGATTCCAATAGTTCCAATGCACATCACCGCCTAAACAGTCTCTCCTGGAAATTTATTGGCAAAATCGAGTGATTATAAAGAGGTGTGCTTATATAGGGTTTGACTATTTAAAGGTCCGACTGTATGTATGCATACATATAAAATATGTTTATTATGAAGAATAGGAATTATGAATTTTATATTTATTTTTAAAGTTAATAAGAGAGCTGAGAGGATAATTAATATCTGATATTTTTATTTCATAATTTTTATATTATTTACATACATTGATTTCGTTTTTTTTGTAATTAAAAATTACAAACAATATCCGATTACCCCAAACATCCTATGACTATTCTCAACTCATTGACCATTACTAAAATTCATGCACTTCTCTTGACTAATTCCGTTTAGATAAAGCTGATGGGTTGAAAGATTTGGGTTAAGTTCTTGATGCGTAAATATGTATTTGGTTCTTAAGATAATATATATGGAGGTAGCTTTGGTAGTTTTCAAGTTGTCTTGATGTGTTACATAATAAATAGTAGACGATTAATCAGATAATGGATAGTAGCAAAATAATGAATATATTACGATTATTGAAGAGATTTAAAAACAGCCAACCTTCTTTAGAAAACCGATTTAAAAATTTCTGAAAAATTACGATCGTGTTAAATAATTCTAAAATAACAGAATGAGGTTTTTAGAAGAAGATCAAGTTGGCCCAAAAAATTAAAAAATAGATCCGTTGGAGGTTGACTTGCTAAATAAGCTCTATACTTAAACGTTAAATGAATTAAGCATAGTCAATAATCATTTTTATATTTGGGTAAAGCAACGAAAAATTACATTTCTTAATCAAATATTAAATATATGATTATATCTCCAAAATCAATTAACATGACCAAGTAATTTATACATGGTATCTTCAATGATGTATGGAATGTGAATTTTCAAAGAAAATTATTAAGCAAGGGTTATTTATATAAGCGTTCATGAAGATAATTTATCATTAAAGTTATTTCGAAATAACATTTCATTTTTACGGCATAAATATTTATATATATTTTTTTTTGTTGTAGCAATATAAATAAGATTGTGATAATAAAATTACATGATGTGAGAATAAATTAAAGAATGAACAATAGGCTATACTGTAAGATACAAATAACTTTCACTAATAAATACATCAAATTGTCATCTAAGAAACATTTCTTATTAATCCAAACATTGTAATAATAACATGCCTGTTGAAATGAACACGATGAAATTTATGAGCCATAATATCCCTTTAAACGAATTAGCAGAATCCATCCAAGGGCGATCGGATGGACTTAAAGGGGTCACCGTAGCCGTAGCATCATAATTACTAGCATTTCCATTTGTTGCACTCATAGTCTGACAAATTCCTCTAATCTTTTCTATCGTTGGAGGAACTTCTGTATTCAATAAGGTATCCGGCTGACCTGTTCTTCGAAAACATTCTACACAAAGCGGCTGAAAAATTTTTAACAGTACATGTATTATTAAATGAATATTCCTCCCCAAAAAAACGAAGTGAGATTATAAACTTACATATACGGATAAGAACGTGTCAGTGCAAGAACAACGAATTGCATCAATCAATTGTAGAGGATCAAATAAAACATAAGAAGCATTTTGAAAAATTTCACTTGATTCCGTACATGAATCGATGGAAGGGTATTCTTTTTCACAGGCAACACATGATGGAATGTTTGGATCAAAATAAGGATTATTCCCGGAACTTAAAACGAATGGAAGAAATAGATAGAGAGTTATCGAAATTAAAATGGTTCGACGAAGAATCATCATGAATTTTTGATCATTTAATTCGTTAAATAACATGTATATCGTCACCGCTTAGGGACAGCAAACTTTTTGGCCTTTTGAAAAAATGAAATAAACAAAAAGAGTAATTTTGCAAATTGTTCGTTAAAAAAGGATGCTGCCTCGCGATGAATAAAACATTCAATGAGAGCAAGGACAAAAGTTGTAGTATTTCTATGCGTTTCATATAGGGAGGGAAGATTTGCCTTCATTCTTAATCACCAACTCCTTGTCCAACGATCAACCCAGGGGTTTATATTGTGATACCATGCTTCCAATTATTTATTACCACGAAATAAACAAAATTATATGATATTACACCTTGTGTTTTTTTTTTTTTTTCATACTTGCTAATACTATTTATTATGTATGAAAAAAAACCATACTACAGTATAAAAACCATAATATACAAGTTGCTATATACCCTGATTCCGAATTTATTTTTAGCAAATTTACGTAGCGGTAGTCTTTTAAAATAAATTTTGTAGAAAATGGAATGCCATAAGCTTCTTGGTTTCTTTTTTATATATACCTATCGAAATGTATTCATGATTTTGATCGATCGACGTTAATTTTTTCATGCATTTTAAATTATTTAAAAAATTCATTGTGGTTCCGTTGTACAAATAAAATTGTTCTTTTTAAATTATTTATCGTTCAACTTTAAGCTCGATATAAAATTTTAAAATGAAAACTCGTTTATCACTTTTGAAATTATTGTTTGTTAGTCTGTGTTTGGTTACTGTAGTTATAGCAGCGAAGGGACCGGTTATAACAAATAAAGGTGGACATCTAGAATTCTTTATTAACGAGCTTTTGCTGCTTTTAAAGATATAAATATTTAACGTTTCATTTCTATATTTTCGTTTCTCCGAAATATAAAAGTATTCTTTGATATCAAACATGGTGATAAAGATTTAGGACGTATTGTCATTGGGTTATATGGAAAGGTACCGTAAATTATTTCATAATAATGTTTAAATATTTGTTTGAATGATTCTTATGATTTTATTATATACCAGACTGTTCCCAAAACAGTTGAGAATTTTCGCGCATTGGCCACCGGAGAGAAAGGATTTGGATATAAAGGTTCATCCTTTCATCGTGTCATAAAGGTATATTAAAATGTTTAATTTGAACTTACATTATTCCTTCGGATTTAAGCCGAACCTAATCTATTTTTATAGGATTTTATGATTCAAGGTGGAGATTTCACAAAAGGAGATGGAACAGGTGGTAAATCCATCTATGGTGAAAAATTCGCAGATGAGAACTTCAAACTTCGTCATACTGGACCTGGTGTTTTGAGTATGGCAAATGCTGGAACTGATACAAACGGTTCACAAGTAAGCGTTGTTATCAACTAATTTGCTATTTTTTTTTTTTTTTACTTATAACTAATTTTCTTAAATTTTAGTTTTTCATCACTACTGTAAAAACATCATGGCTTGATGGACGTCATGTAGTCTTTGGATATGTTTTGGAAGGAATGGATATTGTACACAAAATTGAAAACGTCGAAAAAGGACCTCAAGACAGACCAAAAGAAAGTGTGACTATTGTCGATAGTGGTGAAATTCCAATTAAGGAAAGTGAACAACCATATCACGTAGAATTATAATCGTGTTAAAAAAAAATTTTTTTTTAATACATCCGAAGAGAATTGTATAATATTATTTTAAAATAATAATAAAAATTTTTGTTGCTAAAAAGAAAAAAAAGTGTTTATAATGTTTATACTAGTTTATTCCTTCCTCTTTTTTTTTTTTTTTTTTTTTTTTCGTTTATTTAGACTTCATATCCTGACGATGATGATTTAGAAATAAACAATTTGCCACCTCTCGATACTTGGGATACAATTTCTTTGGATCAAAGACTACAAGACCTTTCATCAAATTGGTTTATAATTTTAGTGGGGTTAGTTTTCATTTTAATGATAATTGGATCTATTAGAAGATATAAAACTGGAATCTTGGTTGCATTTGGCATGATCGATGAAAAAGGTTCATCAACAACCATCGGAAGAGTATAAACTATCAAAGCCTTTCTTACAAATCCTGTATATTGATTAAAATATTTCATTATAAACAAAATATTTATTCTCTTCTTACACCTTAGGACATAAAAGAAAGAGTTTCAAATCAATAAATGGTTAAATTTAAATTATTATTAACTTTAGGCGTACCTTGTCCCAAAAACGTTATTCATTTAATTCATCAAATCAATATTCATACTTGGTCTCCATACTAAACATGATTTAATTAAGTTAATAGGTTGTTGATTTTATTAAATAAAACGACGGGAAATTTTGTAATTTATTAACCTTGAAGTAGTCCGGCAATACCTCGATGGGGTTCAAAAGGAGAAACGGAAGCGATGGTTTTGCTAAATTCTGGATCAGGATGCCATGCAATATCCGACACCTTTTGCCTAAGGTTACAAATAAGATGAACGATTTCGTAAATAGTGAGATTTTATCTTATCTTATTTTTTTTTTTTGTAATATTAACCTATGTCCGGTGTGCTTAAATTTCGCGCCTTCTTGTTTATCGTTTTTGTTTTTATTAATAACCTAAAAAGAAAATATAATCTGAAGCATTTGTGATAATTAAATGATGAAAAACTCATTATTTACTTCGGTATTCCAAATGATAACACTACAATCATCCGAACAACTGGCAAATAACCCACTGTTGTGAGGTGACCAAGCCACTTTGTTTACAGATCGTTGGTGTTGCTTAAAAGTAGATAACGAAGTTGGCTTCGTAAAGCAAAAAAAAAAAAAAAAAATTTAATTCAATGATTCAAAAAGTACTTTTAATCACAACTTTAATTAAATGAAATATGAATATTTACTGATGAAGAGAAAACGCTCTTCATCTTCCGCGTATCCCACCATTCAATAATACCATCTGCACTTGATGTTAGAAGAGAATGTTCTTTATGAGGGTTCATGTGACAGCTCGTAGCTGCTACTCTATGTGCTTTTGCCACCTGTAAATCAGACATTCGTTATCATTTTAAAATTAAAATGATTTATATATTAAATGAACTCGACTTACATTTTGAGCTAATTTATTCGTACGATAATCCCAAATTATCACATTTCCTTGACTTGAAGTACATGATATATTTGTACTATCTTCTTTATAATCACACGATAGGATTCTATTTGAAGAATCCGAAAAAACTTGATAATTATATTTAGGAGGGAGTGCTGAGGTAATGAAAAAAACAAAAATACTACAAAAATTAGCAAAATATGCAAGAAAAAAAAGCAAATATGAACCATATTTATATACATATTTGATTTGAACTTGTTTGATAATCAGTCAAATCCCATAAAGTCAAATATCCATTCTCGGCTAAAAAAAAAAGTGAAATCGAGGCGCGTTAAATATATAGAAAATCTCATTCTTCACATTATGAATTGTTGTCTTACTCACTACCGTTAACAACTATTTGTCTATTCTTGGCAACACATAATGCTGGTCCGATTGACGAGTTTTCTTTAGCGGCCAACTTAATTTGTGCAGTAGGTCTGAATAGACCAAAAAAGATTATGATCTTGATCTTTAATAAAGTTTTATGATTATGAGAATAATTATACCTTTTATCCTCAGAAAGAATTGACGTATTTTTCAAATCCCATACATAAATAAATTGCTTTCCGCTTGTAACGATCTTTTGCGAAGTTAAAAGCCTATATATATATATATATATATATATATTTAAAAAAAATTCATAAAAGAAATTTTTATTGATTCTAAAGTTATACCTCGCTTGTTGAAGTGAGCCAGGTTCGTGATGTGAAATTCGTTGACAAAAATTCATATTCTTTATTTCAAAAAATAATTGCTTTTAACGTTAATTACAAAAAATCAAATAAGGTGGAACATTGAACTTACTTCACAACGTTTTGCTTTTGCTCTATCTGATGATTGAATTGAGTTAACTAGATCATAATTCAATGGGCTACCTTCCGGATATAATTTGCATTTTATTATACTTAGATATGCTTCAGCAGAACTCGTACTTCGAGCCATATTAGTTGCTAAGTAGAACATTAGACGTATTTGTATATTCAACAGAAATGAAAAACTCTCCGAGATAAACAAAAGTAAATACCACTGTAGAGCATAAATTGAGATTCCTCTTCTTCCTGCCTTGATCTTTTTCTTGGCACATCTCCCCATTCAATCGTATAAAATGAGCATGGTTCATTATTCCATTCAGTGAATTGGGAGTAAACAACATCATATAGAAGCACAATTCTCGATTCCCATGTTGAAGGTTTATACACACAGTTGTATTCTCTAATTTTCTATATAGTAACGAAGGTGTTAAATCTTTTTTTTTATTATTTGGATAATTTGGGAGGGGGGGAACAATAATTCCAGTTAGTATATCACCTCGATAGGTATGTCTTTGTTGTTTGAACAGTTCTTCATATTATTTTCGAGTTTTAATTTTGGTTTATATTTTTTTGGTTTTATTTGTCGATTGATTGCATAATTGATTAGAGTGCACGGACTCCTTACAATGCATAAAATTGCATGATGATGCATCCCATAATTGTTATTTTTAAACATCCAACTTGTTTGGTATTAATCTACTTTCTCCAAGTTGGTTTTGTAAATGGAGCATTCGAATCCGGAGTCACGATTTGACATCGAGACGTTTCCAGAATATTTTCCAATTCTTGAAGTAGATAATAAATCTAGACTCCTTCTAAGGCATTACAAGCCACGTATTAGATCTTTTTCCGCACCAGCTGCTTCACATGTTCAACAAGGTGTTCAGGAAGACGATCGGAAAGACGATCAAGATTTTATTATACTTCACGATCCTAAACTTACACCCGAAACATTGCAAAGAAGAATAAGTCTTACTCGAAATGGTGATCAAGTCGGTCTCAGTTCTAATAAACACAACGTTTTAATCTTTCTTGTAATGTTTAATTTTCCAATTTATGTTAACAGTTTTATACGTTAGCTACGAAGGTATTCTATGTCAGATCCGCGCGGCCCTTTACGTGGTTATGGTAGGCGCGTTAATGGAAAAAGGCAGCGATATTTGAAGATTTTACACATCCTAAAATATGAGGTGATAATTTATCCTTTCAATTCATTTTCCTTTTGTTATAATCATATATGTAAACTTATATATTTTAATCTCTTTAACACGTAAAAGAGCGATAATAATGCAAATCAACCTAAGGAAGCTTCAATATTTATATCTCAACTTGATAAATTCGTAACTGAAAGTCAACTTCGGGTACAATTTGAGGAATGTGGAAATGTAATTTATTGCAAAATTGAGAACAATCCAATTCATAATGATAGTCTCGGACTAGCTAGATTAACATTTTATGGAGAAAATAACGGTGATGCACTGATTTCGGCTAGAGACTCAATATTCAAATTTAATGGAAAATCATTATTTAATGGTCCACCCATAAAATTAGAACTTGATAATGATGGTTTGTTACTAAATTAGTTTTTCTTTTCTTTTTTTTTTTTTAAAAAAAAAAAAATTATTTAATTGAAAATTTATTTACAATACCTTTTTGTTGTAGGTTCAAAAATAAAAACGGCCGCTGAAATGATAATTACTGAAAGTCAAAATTCATTAGAACCCTCTGTCAGTAACAAATTCAGCGAACCGTCCCCGACACCATTACCTAATGACGATGATATGGAAATAGGGGATGCACCATCACCACCTGCTGTTATTGTTTCAGTTCTCGTCACTAAAGTCCAAAGTACATTACAAACTTCGGTCCTATTAGATAAGACCAAGAGGAAGACTACGCCTTCGACTTCTAATAAAGTTCATTCTAAAGACTCGCGCGTTTCACCCGAAAAGATTGAACAAAAGTTCGAATTGCCACCGAAAAGACCGATCGACGATGATAAGGAGGAAGGTGAAATTGACTCAACCTATGAAGAGGAGTCATATGGACCTGCTAGTGGACATTTATCATCTAGAGAAAAAGGAAAATGGTTTGAAAAGTATTCTCTTGATTCGCAACATTTGGATTATAGTATACCTACGGTTGTCCCCTCTAAGCGTTCTTATGATCAATATATACCTGATTATAGTAATGATCGTAGTAGACATTTAAATCAAGAAAGGAGAAGGCGTAATTCTTCTAGAGAAAGATTTATTAGAAACAATCTTAATGTAGAGAAAAGTCGTAGCCGAAGTCGAGGCAGAAGTCCTATCGGAAGCGGTAGTCAACCAAGGAGTCGCGATCGTGATTTTGGACGCAGTCGTAATCATGAACCCGTTCGTAATCGAGATCGTGATTCAATTCAAAGTTATAAACGCGACAGTTCTCGCAGTCATGATCGTGATATGTGTCGAACCCATGATCGTTCTAACGCACGTGATAATGTTTATCGTAGCCATGATCATGACATGGTTCGTAGTGGTCGTGACATGTATAAAGAGGCTCATGGTGGTGATAAGAAAGCAGAAGAAAAGAAAATCAGTGAGACGCGTGATTTCTGGGCAGATGTCGATAAGAAGCTCGATGGTCCAAAGAGTTCTTCGGAGTTTTCGTCTAGAGATCACACGAAATTTCGGAAAAGATCCCAGCTTAATAAAGATAACTCATCAAAATCACATTCCGTTAATGAATCAAGGAATAATATTCAAAATGAAAATAAAGATTCCGTAAATTCAAATTCCATGTCGACAAAACGACTGGAATTTTCTCATATTTCCAAATTTGACGAAGATAGAAGTGCGTTTGGCTTGAATTTAAAAAAGTCGGCACAAAGGGTTAGTACGTCAAAGGTCGAATCTATTGATAAATATACAAATGTTAATCGACTAACGAAACTTAAAAGTTATCCAAGCAAACCACAACCAAGTTCAAGACCTTCTGAAGGTTACAGAAAACCAAATATAAGTGACTGGGATTATTCATATTCGTCATCATCTGATTCATCTGAAACCAGTGCGCAGAAGAAAAAGAAAGCACAAGATGCTAAAGGAAAATTACTTCCAAAGAATATTTCTTTAGCGTCAAATAAGGTTGAAGACAATAAAAAAGTTGATAATGATGAAAAGAAACAGGGCCAAAATCATGTGTCGCAACGAAAGAAATCACCTCAAAAGCAAGTCAAGTCAAGCATTCGGAGTGCTTCTGAAAGCAGGACAAAATCTAAAGTTGTACGCAAGTCAAAGTATGCTGATTTAACGAGTGACAATATTATTAAAGAGGCTGATAATTCTATATCTGAATCCAGCGCAAAAGCAAAAACTGTTCGAAAACAAAAGAGCATAAATACTTCTAATATCAGGACTAACTTGGAAGCACAAAATCAAAGTCGCAAATTAAAAGAAACTGTCATACATCGTTCTTCAAATGATCTAGCTAGTTCCGAGAATAGTGATAGTGATAATCAAACACTTTATAAATCGCACCTTTACAATACAAGCAATGAATCTACAAATGACGATGATGACTATACTGATAGAGATTATCTTACATCAGGTGATGATATTACTGATGCATATGATTTGGATATGATTCGACTTTATTTTGAATTAAACGAGAAAGGCTTACTGAATAATGATGGTGAGCCCATAGAATGGTCCGAAAATGAAGAGTTTACTATACGTGTAGGTGGTAAGTAAAGATTTATATACGATATTAACTAACCATGATCAAATTTATCATTATATATTATTTATCAATAAAATATCTTTACTAGATCACGTTGAATCTTTTAAAGATTACGCACCAGATGATGGACCTCACAAAACCGGCTGCGCTCGAACCGAAGGATATTATAAAATACCTCCGGAAGAGAAGCGCAAGTACGTAGCATATGGTATACCCGGTACTTCTTATGCAACAGATAAAGCACCGGCTCCGAGTTCGCGTGCATCACGTGCAAAACGTCGTGAACTTCAATCTCGTATGGCAGAGTATCAGGATGTAGCAACTGATGCGGATATCTTATTATACAATCCACTTAAAGCGCGTGAGAAGGAACTTACAATTGCAAAATCGAAGATCCATCATTATGGCCTTTTTGCTTTGGAGCGTATTAAATCTAGTGAATTCGTTATTCAATATACTGGAGAACTTATACGTCAAGCCGTTGCCGATCTTCGGGAAAGAAAATATAAAGCTGAAGGTATAGATGGAAGCTATATGTTTCGTGTTGGAGATGATACCATTATTGATGCCACCAAGATGGGAAATAATGCAAGGTTGATAAATCACTCATGTGATGTATGTTGTTAAAATTATTAAATCGTCTCCATATTTGTCATTTTAGTAAATGTCCAATCATAATAATTTTTTCAATCTGATCATTCTATGATGATAAAAATAGCCAAATTGTAATGCGAAAATTCTTACTATTAAAGGGAAGAAAAAGATAGCCATATATGCAAAACGAGATATTGAATTTGGAGAAGAGATCACTTATGATTACAAGGTAAGTCAATAACGAATGATTTACTAAATTTATTTCATGATTATTGTTAACCGTAAAATTGTTTTTAATTATAGTTTCCTATTGACAAACATGACAAAATCCCTTGTCATTGTGGCGCTTCGAATTGTAGAGGGTTCTTGAATTAATGCTTTTTGTTTTTAATATTAAATTAATGTTAGAGATATAGCTTATATTTTCATTTACTTTAGAAATAAAATAATTAATTAGAAGTTAAGAGTTTTTTATATATTAAGTATGGATGGTATTTCAAATATTCAACTTAACAGCATAATTATTCAAAATAAAAATAGAGCAGGTATCTTTGATCGATTAATTGATTGACTTATTAATTGATTTGATAACGATATGAAAAATTCATCATATAAATTAGTGTTATGGTTTTTTAACATTTGAATTGATTGGTACGTTTCTTCAAGTTTTTTTTTTTTTTTTTTTTTTTTTTTTTTGTAATATTTTTAATTTTATCTTGAAGGGTTGTTATTTTGATCTAAAGAACTCAAATAATCATTAACCAACAAGTGGAAAAAAAACGAGTAGAACTGTACATTTCCCTTTCGTGAATGATGTTATATGTGTAAATGAACAAGCGGAATCTTTATTATTTTTAATGTAAGTAGTCATATTACACGTGATATCTTAATAATAATGGGAGTATTTAGTATAAAATCAGAAAATAAATAAGCAGATACAAAAAATCAAAAGGAATGAAGACTCCTCATTAGTGTTTCATAAATTCAAGAATATTGATCCTATAATCGAACGATATAAATTCTGTATTACTTACATCTGATACCTAAAAAGGTGAATGCAGTAGATAAAACTAAAAAATAATATCGTGTCGTTTCAGTTGAGAAAGTTGTCAAATAGTTTGAACCTAAGATTTTCTTATGAGTTGTAAGAATTAACTACTAAAGGTTTTATATTACCTTCAATTCTTCAAACAAATGTTCAAATGATATCTATATCTCTTCATTATTATCAGGTTTAATTGATTCTCTAATAAAAATTAAAACATGAAATATTGATAGTGATACGATTGATTAGCTTACCAATTTTCAACTTATTCGATGCCCGGCCTTCCACCTCATTTTTTTTTCTTTGATCGTTTTCCAATGTTCTCCCCACTAACTTTAATTTCAATTCCTTAACCCGCTGCAAAATTATTCAAATCTATTTATTACACATTTATCAAAAATGCTGACGCAGCAACTTTTATTTAAACTCATAATTATATGGGTAGAAAGTGAGAAAGCCTTTTAAACTGTCACAACAGTTACGTGTTGCCTAATGGAGAAATTCTTGATCCAATTTTAGTGTTAGTTATTAACAGATAAAGTTTCACAAGATCTGGAGTGTATTGTAAGTTAACTGTGGCATTTTTTAGTAATTTTAAATTCTTATAACGATGGCAATACAAACAAATTCAACAAAAAATCCCTCAGAACGAATACTTTATGATATAGATGTAGTCGCTGTTTGGAAACCAGAAGATGAATTAGGAGACCAAGAAGCTAATTCCCAAGTTAAATTACACACCAACCCGAATGATCCTTCTTATTCCCAGATACCGAGGAGTATGTTTAAACAAGTTACGCATCGCCTTGTTCGTAGTCTAGAAAAACTTGCAATTTCTACTACAGTACCACGTGCGCTTATCCAGGCACGTCCAAAAGTAACTTCTGAGATAATTATGCAGCTATCACCTAATGGTTTATATCTAGCCGTGTCGAGTGATCACAAAATAGAAATACGAACAAGTAAAAGTGGATTCGAAACGAATCATTCGATTTTTATTTCTAGGAGAGATACTTTTCCAAAGTGGAGACGATTGTCATGGAGTCCGGATTCTAAAATTTTAGCAGTTGCAAGAAGCGATGGAACAATTGAAATCATTGATGAAAATGGGGGATTGGTTTGTATCATATTATCTAGCACCAACATTAACTCTGATGGTGAGAAAGATGCACAGGGTGGATCAAGTTTTTTCCTCGAGCCGGTAGCATTTTTATATTTTGTTGATCCGAAACGCGGTTTAAATAGCACATCTTTATTTGACGGATATTCGTACCAGTATGAATTATTAGTAGTCACCTTTGATGGTATTTTACGTAGCTATTTAATTAATACGGTAGAATCAGCATTTACAGACATCAAAGAAGCTTCGCGTCATACAAGATCCAATATGACTTATTCACGTGAAGGACCTTCCGACCCTGGTTATTTTGCCTTTTATCATAAATTTTCATTTAAGCAATGGTTATCTACTATTACGTGTGGTGCCGTTGTAACTTGGAATGGATTAGTATTATGCCTTGGTGGTAAATCAAGTTTTGAGAATAAAGATGATTCAACATCACCTTCTGTTACATGCTGGATGTTATTGCCGGAAAGACCATTTTATCGAAAACTTGAATTGGAAGGTTCAGATGACGGTTCCATAGATGATGTATTACATTTAGACCAGGGAACGGTCGATGATTCTGGGTTCTTTTATCGTTTAATAAATATTTTTTCAACCTGGCGTAATACCAACAAACTTTTCACTGACGAAATTATTCTCAATACGGTGTTGTCTCCTAATCAACAGAATTTATTAACTTTAGACTTTTCTGGTACAGTAAAATTATGGAACTTATCTTTAAACAAAGGGCTTGAGTTAAATAAATCTTGGGATCAACCTGAACTTAATTATTTTGCTAGGGGTAAAGAGTTTAAGGATTTGTCGTTAGAAGTGTTTATTGACAAAATTTTGGAAATCGAGAGTGAGGGTGGTATAATTGCTGGTATTCCCGGATTTGATAATGGAAAAGTTGTATCAATTGGTTGGTGGTCAGATAATGCCATCATTTTAGGTTACCAATATGGTTCAATGATTATTGCCTGTCTTCCAGAAATGATCAACATATTGGGTGAATCTCCGGAATCTTTTAAATCTTGTCGTGAGATTACTAGTCAATGTAGTGATCGTTTTCTTGTCATTGAACATGAAGTCAAAGCTGTTAAAGCTCGAATGATTAATGATGGGTTTGTTCGATATTCAAGGGAACAGGAAGAAGGCGATATGGAAGATGATGAATCTGATGAATCTGAATCTCAATTAAGCAGATTAATAAGTGTTTTAGCGAATTATTTACATCATGTGACTGATACTCTCTTGTGGCATTTTGAAAATGATCCTTCAGAATCTCGTGGGAAAATCATAACAGTCTCTAGAAAGACGTATTGTCTTAACCGTATCTCCAAAATTTTGCCTCAAGAATTATTAAATCGTAAGATAAACGCGTTAGATTACGATGATGCATTGGTGATAGCTGAAACTTATGATCTGGATACAGATATTATATACCAGGCCCGATGGAAAGATGCCGAAGTTTCTGAAGCTGCAATTCATGATTACCTTGATAAAATCCGCGATAGAGAATGGGTACTTTCTGCTTGCATACATACGTTCAGTAATACCCCTGATTTGCTAAGACTCTTATTGAATTATGGTTTGAAAGGCACAGATATTTTGGTAGAAATTTTAAATAATGGAACTTCGTATAATAAGGATGAAATAATTAAAACATTGCGTGAACGTCCATTCGAAGTAAACTCCAAGATGGAAGATTTTCTGGGAAATTTACAAATATCTGAAAAAGATGTCATTATATGTCAATATAGACATTATTTTCTAAAATATTTGGACCGTTTACGCACATATGAGAATATTATCGAAGAGAAAACAAAACATGATATTGAAAATAGAACCATGAAGGATTTTGCAGAAGAAAATGACGGTTGGATTACTTTTGTTGATTATACCTCAACGTTTGCTGAAGATTACGCCGTATTTCGTGATTTGAACATTGCGGCTCTAGCTATGGATTATGCAACTGAAGAATTTTTCAAGGGTTTAAACATTCTATTTACCCGTCACGGACCTGAAACTTTACCTTATCGCTTCACAATCCTTGAGCAGATTCCGGAAACAGCTGATCCTGATGAATATGAATCCTTCTTACCTAGCGTTACTTCAAATAGTAATAATGGTGATCTTGTTGAATGTTCGTGGAATGAGCAACCTTGGAGAGATATAGATTGGGTCGATAACCCAATATTGAAAAGGCGAATTTTACCCGAATTAGATTTATCAAAAGAATCAGATGTTGGAGGGATAAGATTAAAACCAGTCGAATATCCGGCCCGATCAACTCTAATTACAAATTGGTATATTGATCGTGCTCATAGAATTGATAGTGTTTCGGGGCAAGTTGATAAAGCTCTCATACTTGTTCGTCACGGAATCAAAAAAAAAGTAGTGAATCTGGAGACATTGGAAGAAAACCTAGATATGTTGGCTAAGCTCGTTTACGATTGCTATCCAGATTTAGAATCAGTTAGTAAAAGTATGTCATTGAAAGAATTTGAAGCGTTGACTGAAGCCGAAATTGTTCAAGTTTTTCTTCAACATACTAACGAAAAACGGATTGTTAATGACATTAAAAATTTCATCATCCCCTTTTTAAGACTGTTACCTGCTCGCCGTGCTCGATTAAATCACATTCTTAAAGACGATTCCAATGATAAAGTATCAATTTCGAATCCAGAAAGCGAACCGATGAGCCTGCTCTATAATTATATTTTGAATATTTCATTATCCAATTTAGAATTAAGTTGTACCATTTTTGAAGCATCTAAACCGGTTTTTAATATAGAAGAACGAATTATCACTTCTGATGAAGATCTTGCTAGGGTAGCTCTTGCATGTCTTTACGGAAATTCTAGCACTAATAATTGGGAAGTTATGACTCGTATTTATGAATGTCTCCCAATATTTGATGTGGAAGGAAATCGAACTAGTTTAGAAGTTAATTCACTTCAAAGTTACACCCCATATGAACTTTTCCCATTGTTCAAGTCAAAAAATGAATGTCAACTTCAAAGCTTTATTGATTCTCTTGAAATTCACTTAAACGCAGCGGAGGTACTTGCACAATATGGTAATGCTGTACCATTATGCTGGTTTTTACAAAGTTCGGAAAATTATGCTTTACAAAAACAATTATGCATCCAATTAGCACGGAAAGCTGGTGGTGGTCCTGAAAGTGGTGGGGAAAAGTTTGAAAGTGAAGATGAATGGATTTTGTTATTAGAAAAAATTCTTAAGCTTCAAGGCAATGGAAAAGGTGTTTTTGGAAAGATCTCTACCGAGGAAATATATAAAATTTTCATTTCTTCATTGTTGAGCTGTGGCAGTATCCTTATTTGTTTTTCGAATTTTGTTGGATTATATAATTTATAATATTGAAATACAATATACATACATATACATCTATCATATTGTCCATAACATTATTTTATTTATTTTAGAATTTAATTTGGCCCGTGAAATCATTTTGCCTACCGACCAACCACAACCTTTAGACATGGACATTTCAGAGAAACTAGTAATTGATGCGTCGAGAGAATTCTTTGACAACGCCCCTTCGGGAAACATGTATCATGGATATATGAAGATGGCATATGAATGGTATGACATAACTTTTCAAACCGATGGGATGCCTTTAAAGTTTAACTAATATATTTTTTTTTTATTTATTTTTATTTTATTTTTTTTTTTTTAAAAAAAAAAAAAAGTCTCCAGATATTGCCAATGTCTGATAGCATTCGAGCCGAAGTCGAGTTCATTGAAGCGACACATAAGCTTACGGAGCAAAAAGTTTATCATCAGCCCGGAATTCCGATACATCCTATGCAAATTCGACTTGCATCGAATAAATTAGATTTGATTGCTCGTTTATTGAGTACAAATGAAGAAGTTTATTATGACTATAAAACCATTATAGAACTTGCAAAGAAATTAGGTTATAGAAATGATAAAGTAGCGGAAGTCAAAGTTATGGCCATGCTTGCCGATACTGCAATACGTGATTCTAATCTCAGTTTTGCATATGATATGTGTATTGACATCATGAAAATAATCAAGTCGATTTCGAATGTGAAAACCGATGAAAAAAAAGAGGTCATATTAAAATCTTCAAAGGATGTTGCTTGGAGGATTTGTTATGAAGTTGCCAAACAAGAAACATTTCAAAATTTAGAAAAGAAAATGACCCTTATGGGATACGCTCTTGCATTATGTCCTAGCGATCAAGCGGTTGATATTTTGAATGTTTGGCGAAAGATAGATGAAGAATATAGAGCAGAATTAATTCAAAAGGCCGGTGAGAAATCCATGGAAAAACCTAAATCAGCAAAGATCAAGCCAGTGGTTGAACGTGTTGAATCAAGCTTATTAACACCTTTACTGCAAGGAGATCGAATCAAGAGTGTGTTCAGTAGATTCTTTTGACTTGAAAATCCAATTTATTTTGAACAATTTTAAATGTATATTATAATTTATTAAAAAAAAAAAAAATAAATAAATAACTTTTACATAAAAGCTAGTTTGCTCTTTCATAATCACTAATTAGGATAACTAGATAACATGGTAAGAATGAAAAAATTTAATTAGGATTGTCTTTTTTTAGATAAAATGTTATGCAGTAATTATTAATTAAAAGCGTAGATTTCCCTTTTACAGTAGGATCTTCCTGATTTATAAGAAGTTTTTTTTTTGTTCCAATTGCATTAACGATCGTTACAAATAAAGCAACGATTATTCACATGTTTACACTGCATAGTTACTTTTTGAACGCGTATATATAGTTAGTGAGAAATACGAAAAAATAAAAATAAAATCAATAGTTTCTATAATTTTTTTGATTTTTTTTTAAGAATAAAACCTAAATCTTCCCAAAATAATAATAATTAACGAAAACAAATTAATGTTATTTTCAATTAAAAAAGACAAACTTTTTGTTTGTGAAATATGAAACTTATTCGGAATTTTTATTCATAAATATTTTTTTCTAAATAAAAAATAAAAAAAAGCAACTAACTGAATTAATCATACATCGATATATCGTGTAACAAAATCCTTTGTTTTCTCGAATTATACACTGGCGATTTCGTTTGTACAACACGTTTCAAATGTCTTTATAAGTAGCACTCTGTCTGGTTTGGCTGATGAAAATATTTTTAAATTCCATTTCTTCAGTAAGAAACACAAATATGGACCGATTTAATGCTCTCATAATCACACTCTTAATTTTCTATGTGAGCCTGGTTACTTCAGGTGTATATATATATTTTTTAACACTCAAGGAATTTCTGACTTTGTTAACAAGAAAATTTATTAACCTTTATCTTTATTCACATACACTATTCGTACTTAGAAATCTTCATCAAAACCCCGGACAGTCCATTATATATAGGAAAAGTGGCGAGTGTTAGCTGGTCTAGCGATACGTCTTTAGAAGGAACTGGCGAATTACGCCTTATGTTTAATGCATCCGTAAATATTTTAGTAGATGCTAATATGGACTTAAAACCGTTATTTTATAATTGGATAGTCACGAGTCCGCCTGGAACTTTTTACTGGGGTTTATTTTCTACCCAGAGGGCCGCTTTTTCTCGTGAATTTAACATTGTCAATGCACCCGATGGAAGTAGTCCCACTACTGTTGCAAAAGCAATAACGTCGTCACCAGGTAGGTTATCCTTAATGATTACCTTTTTTTTTTTAATTACTTAATTTAGCTTTGTGTTCTTTTTTTTTTCTTTCAAGCGGCAACAACGATACTGGCAACCCAAACTGTTGTAAAAATTGATGGTTCATCATTAAGTAAGGGAGTCATTATAGGTGCTGTTAGTGTCGTCGGAATCATAGGCCTTGCAGGTCTTTCTGTCTATGCATTTTTGCGTTTCAGAAAAACTAAATATATTCCAACACCTGGTGAAAGTTATAGATAATAATAATAATAATAAAAATGCTGTACGCTTTGTTTTAATTTTTATTTTATATAAATTTTTTGTAAATAAATTTATTGGAGCACTGATTTCAGACAAGGAAATTGTTGGGTAATTGTGTTTTAATATGAAACAATTTTATGCAGGGTCTTAGAAACTCCGAACATCAATGATTTTCACGACGTCCGTAAAAAAATATTAAATGATTTTCACGGTGATACGTATCATCGATTTTCTTTTCCAGAAAATCGCGTTTGGATAAAAATGCGATTTTGTTATATTGAAAAAAAAAAAAGAAAAAAAAAATTAGAAAATTGACACACGGTCGTTCCTGGTAATCCAGAGATCTGACCAATCAAATAGATCCGACCGATAATTACATCACACAACGCTACAGAATTTTTTCCGTATACTGAAGTTTATAAATTCAGGTATCATTGAAATATGTGTGACACTGCATTCTCTTACACATTCTTTACTGATCAGATCCAGACGAACAAACACGCACGCAGGTTCGTGATGCACGTTAACCTGCTTTCATAATTGGAGAGACCTGAAAGAAAACTTTGATTTTAAAGTTCAAATCCAAAAATTACTAACAATACATATTTTATTGTTCAAGTTGGCGGACATGCATTTCGATCCTTATTATTACATTTTGTGTGCGAGTCTGAGGCGCAGCAACTATCTTATATAAACAAACTTCACGAATGAACTCTTGCTATATATACTGTTGTTTCGAACTTAATTTTAGTCAAAAAAATTTCTCAGTGTTGACGTAGATAGGATTAATTTTGTAGATAAATGATAGAAACAATCAAGCAATAGAAAATTTCCGGAAACGTGGGAGAGAAAAGAAATAATATGACTTAGTGGCTCGCATTATATCCGTTCTCTCCCTTTCCTCCCTTGAAAGTGTGGCATCAGCTTAATACATTATCCTTTCTTAAAGGGAGATCATGTTCTTAAAATTACGGCCCAGTATCAAGAATTGATTTCATGTCTTTATGTTCGAAATTTCAAAACCATTATAGAAAACCATTATGGTTTACATTAAAACTATTTTCTTTACCAAGTGTAAAATGAATCATGTTTTAAAATTAATTTGATAAAATTTAAGGTAAGGTACTTCAAATATATCAATTAGACAGTATAAAACAAACATAGGACTTGATAAATGCACTTAACTAAGTTAATATAATTTTTGTTTAATTAAATAAATCAGTAAAGTCCACTTTATTTTATAAAAAAAAATCTACTTTCCAAATGAATGGCCAAATAAAAATAATTATGTAAAAAAATAATTTCCAGTTTACTTCAATCTTCTGTTTTTATTATTAAAAACTTTTACCAACGAAACACAAATCTTAAATGGAAACAATTCAGGAATTTTCTACAGATTGGTTAGTTTTATTACCAATTTTTTACGAAATCGAAATAATATAAAATCCGAAAATAAAGAGGATAATTTGAACAATTCGAGAAAGACAAAAGATGACTTGGGAAGACTCATTAGGCAACTTTTAGTAAAAGTAAAAGGTAGTCCATTCATTCCATTTTGTTTGTGATCATTTGAAAACTTTGATTATTTTATTTCATCTTCTAATTATTGCTCTTGAATTACTTTGTTCATCAAGTCAAAATCTCCTTTGATGCAATGTAAGATCGAAAAATATACCATCATTCATGGTGTATTTAGACTCTACGAATAAAGTCATGAAAGATTGGTTACGAATAATCTCAATTTGCATATTTTCTTAATGTGAAAATTAATCTCTCTCCAATTTTCTCTTCAATTCCAGTTGTTGAATCATTCAGTATAAACCTAACAGAACGTGAAATATTTAGTAGAAGATAATTAAAAAGTTGTATTGCATTATTTTTTACTGAATTAATATCATCTTAATTAACACCTTCCAACAAAAGATTCTTTTGGGATATTATTCACTACAAGAATTCGGAAAATATTTTAATGAAATGTCGATACATTTGTGTTTTGTGTGGAGAAGAGAAAGGAGAAGGTGGAAAAGGAGAACCTGCTAGGGTTAATTGATAAATTCAAATACTTGGTGATTATGGAGAGACACTTCATATCTTTTTGGATATTATGCCAATACTACTGCTGTTTTCTTTATCATGGTGAAAAAGAACCTATTTAATATTAATAGTCAAAAGAGAAAACTCACAGACATTTTGCAGTCAGAGACTTGCAGTACTTGATTTAAACAAATTTTCAAAAATTTCGCCATGATAATCTCATTATTGTAGGCGAATGAGTAAATTTACATGCTACATGTCTATTGAAATTAATAATGTGAGATAATGGAAATTGGCTGTTATTAAAAAAAAATTCCCTTTAGAGGCTAATGTTAAATAAATATCTAGAAAAATTTTTGTGACCAAATTTAAATTCCTAGCAAACACTTCACAGAATTTAAAATAAAAAAAAAGAATGAAATATTATCGTGAATTTAAATATTTTTAACTTATCAAAGTGATAAATAAATAGTACATTTAATTTATCTTCCTTGATTATAAAAATTTTTACTGCAAAACGCGCGATTTAACAATAAAAAGGCGATTTTACTTGGAATATTCAACTTGCATACTTTGGGTTCACAGCCAATGCTCCCTTAAGGTAGGGATTGGAATTGATAATCGAATCAAAATCGAATCTCATTTTGTGAAAGGAAAATTGAATTTAAACAAAAAAAATGAATTTAACATTGCATCTAAAGATCAAATACATGGTTTAAAACATTTTCAAAAATGAAAAATTTATTGGCAACGGAATTCAAAAACTCAAAAATGATGAAATTATCGGCAATGATCGGCATCTGTGTTAATAAATTTTTTAGATTTTATTTATTTATTTATTTATTGACCATGGAATTAATTATTAAAGTTTAAAATGGAATATCTTATAATGAACAAAAAATCGAATCTATAAAGATTCGATAATCGATTCCCTTAAGAAATGAAGTTAGAAAATTTATTGTCTTGCGAGAAAAGTAAAATATATACATATATAGATAAAGATATATAATAATAATATATATAACTTAGAACCATAGTCATTCATTCAGAAAAAATCAAAGCAACTACGATATAATTTGAGAGAATATGATTTTCATCCGAGCGAAATATTAATTAACAATGAAAAAAGATATTTCACAACTTTTTTCCCAAATTAACGTGTACAGACTTGACTTGAGTATATTGTTGAATAGCGAATTTTCCTAGCGAGAATTCAAATAGAGAAAAAGTTGGATATTTCTGAACCTTATGGATTTGAATTGCATAAAATAAATATTTATTTACCTCCTTCACGACCTATTCCTGATTCTTTATACCCTCCAAATGGTCTATTTTGAATCGAATACACGTGAATACGCAAAATTTTTTTACAAACAATCAATAAAAGAAATGACTTACGTGTATGAGTCAAATAAGTTGTAACAATTAACTACGTGTGGAAACGGGTGATTTAATTTTTTACAACAAAAGAAAGATAGAATTTTACGCCTTTTAAACAAAAGGGAGTTTGACATACCCCAAACAGTTCCAGCCTTTAGATCGTTAGATATTTGCAAAGCACGTGTAATATCTTGAGTAAATACTGCAGCAGCCAAACCATATCTAGTTAAATGAGCCTTTTCAATAACTTCTTCAACGGTAGAAAATTTCGCTATTGCTGCCACAGGACCAAAGATTTCATCTTGCATGATGGACATCTTCTCATTCTATCAATCAAAATCGAAGATGTAACGTGAGAGTTAGATACATGACAAATGACGGTGAAAGTAATAATTATTTACCACGCCTGTGAAGATGGTTGGTTTGATAAAGTATCCTTCTTTACCGCATCTTTCACCACCCATTAACAAATTAGCGCCTTCTTTCTTTCCAGCTTCAATATATGACATAATTCTATAAAAGTATCAAAAAATTACGGTAACTTTTTATATATAGGAAAAACCATTTTTTTCTTTTTTGACTTTCCCCTACCTATCAAATTGAATTTGAGAAATTTGAGGTCCTTGATCAGTATCCCCTTTAAAAGGATCACCGATTTTAATATTTTCAGAAAGAACTTTAAATTTTTCTAAAAATTTGTCATAAATAGTATCTTGTACATAAACGCGTGAACCGGCGCAACAACATTGACCATGATTAAAAAATATTCCCATATGTGACCATTTAATTGCCTCTTCCAGATTTGCATCATCAAAAATAATGTTTGGAGATTTTCCTCCCAATTCTAACGAGACACTCTTTAAATTGGAATCTGCTGATGACTTGAGAATTTGTTTACCAACGACGGTAGAACCTTTATAATTTTACGTGGAAAAAACGATAACGCGTAAAATAAAAATAAAGATAAAAAATATAATTTCAGGAATCGGTAACCATACCGGTAAAACCAATTTTATGAATTTTCATATGAGATGCAATAGCGGCACCAGCCGTAGGACCGTATCCCGATAAGATGTTTACAACACCTTTTGGAAATCCGGCTTCTTTAATTAAAGCAGCAACTTTTAAACCACTCAATGGAGTATATTCTGATGTTTTTAATACAACAGTATTGCCACATGCTAGAGCTGGGGCCAATTTCCAAGATTGCATTACAATAGGGAAATTCCATGGAATAATAGCACCGCAAACTCCAAACGGCTCACGACGCGTGTAGCTAAATTTATCATGATCGTTGTCATACGTCTATGGGAAATGAAATTTTATATATTTCACAAAGTAAAGTCATTTTATATCTTTCATATCTTTCGGGAATTTATATAAATATATTTATTTATTTATCTATCTTACCTTGCCATGAATTTTATCAGCAAAACCGGCAAAGTATCTATAAGTTTCGATGGCACCCGGGATATCATTAGTTTTAGAAACGGAAAAAGCTTTACCATTGTTAAGAGATTCGATAGCAGCGATCTCTTCGAGGTCACGTTCAATCAAATCGGCCAATCTATTAAGCAATCGACCACGTTCTGACGCTTGGACATTTTTCCAAACTTTATCAAAAGCTTCTGTAGCAGCATCAACAGCCTTATCAACGTCGTTTGCAAACGCTTCTGCAACAGTTGTAATTGGTTTCCCTGTTGAAGGATTAATCACTTCAAACTGTTTTCCATCAATTGCATCGACGAATTCATTATTAATGAATAGACCCGTATAGACTATACATATATTTTGTCACACGTTAAAATTAATCATGAAAAGGCAAATACAAAAAATTCATTGGATGAATATCTTTTCTCTTTTTTTTTTGGATATTTTACTTTTGACGGACTTCCCAGTTGGTAAAGTGATTGATTGTTCGTTAGAAGGCATGATAGTTTATTTTTTATTTTTTTGGTGGGAGTTCTCAGTATTTATATTGTCGACGCATTAAGCGTTTTTTTTTTTTTGACGAGTTCAATTGCCTGAAAGAGAAAGCAATGTCTATAAAGAGAAATTTGCCGGATTGGCGTAAAATCATCACTAAGATTAAAGGAGGAAAAGTAGTCACGTAAATATCATGAAATGTAGAAATCATGTGAAAGTGAATTATTATTACGGAAGAAGGCTCCAAGATAGATCATTATTTAGTAATACCCACTATTAATTAATATTTTAAAATATATATATATAAAAAAAAATCCGAAACTTTAATTTTTTATCAACCGTCTCGCGTTTATTTTTAGTCAAATTCGTTTGGTATACAACAAATTTTTTTTTTTATTAGTAGGAGCTACATAATGGAATCCATAATTGTTTGTATTAAGAACTTTTAGGACGTGAAGTTTGTCCTCTCTTTCCTCTTATTACTCTGCCAGGACCACGAAGTGCGCCTACTCTTCCGGATCTAACAGGAACAATTGAACCTCTTGACCTGGAAACTGTCCTTGTAGGAGGATTAGACGGGGTTTTATTTGCTGTTAAAGGATTTATAACATTAGGTGTCAGGGGTGTTACAGGTATAGGCATTTGATTTAACTCTGGCCTCAAGGAATTGAATGGCGTTGCATTTATTTCAGATGGTTGTCCTTCTTCAAGATTCGACGATGATTCATCGATCGTCTTGGGGAATGTACTGATAGCGTCAATATATTCGCTAATATTTTTAGTCTTACATTCCAATAGAACAGTTTGTAAAGCGTACATCTTATTAAGAATTACTTCTGTTTCAGTGGACTAATTTAAATAAAAATAAAAAAAAAAATAGTATGTATTATTAATCTAAACAAAAATTTCATCATGAGTTGATTTAATCTTACATTATCGTCAAAATATTTCATCTTTTTCCATTTTTCTTCCTCTACCATACGAGAAGAAGTCGGACGCGTATTTTTTTTAAGTGATGATTTATCCGAAGTTTTATCATCACCCGTAGTGCCCTTGAAAGAATTAGGGTAAATATTCTTTACTGTATATATAAAAAAAGACGAAAACCTTTATTACACAAAATAAATGTTAATTATATTACCGAAGGCCTTCCCCTTCCCGAACCTTTTCCTTTACTTGAACCTACTCCAGGATCTTCTTGATTTAATTTAACACTTTTTAAGTCGTTAACGAGATCCTCCTCTTCCATGGCTTGTGCCTTTTTACTAGCATTCTTTAATTTTTCATCAATTTTATCAAGATATTTTAGACCCGGGCGTAGTTGCAGCGTTGTGTGAACTGGAGTCATATGAAGTCCGCCTAAAAATCAGTAGAAAAATGTAAATGATTAATATAATAAATAGAGGAATTTTAAATAAAAAAAAAATTGAAAAAATACGATACCATGAAAGTTGAGTTATTACCTACCATCCTTAACTACACCCATCCAATAATTTGCTTGAGGTTGTACAATTGTAGACTGCAAAGTCTGTTTATCCAATAAACCATCATTTCGTTCACGTCGCCACGATCGATCATAAATGGTTCGAGCTTCTTTATCATTAAGACCTAGAGCCAATTCCTCACCTCGATCATGATTGTACCATTGCGAATTTGTTTGTAACGGAATGTCGAGTTCAAGTTTTTGTGAAAGTTGTTTGAAACGTGCTTCACGAGGTATATTATTCCCATCATAAGGGTTTGTTCGTGGTCTAACAGGATACTGTATAATGTAAAGTTCATTGGTGAGTTGTTGAGATAGATAAATAGGGATGTCTTGTATGATGTCGTTTGGATCAAGTTCAGAATCTGAATCGGACATGAGCATACAACTATCACCCCGAGAAACCTTTGAAGGAGCAACGATTATATTTTCATTTGTAGGCTCAAACGCTTCAGAGTCCGATAATTTAAAGGAATTATCCAGAGCAAAAGGAACTTCATCCATGCTTTAAAAAAGTTATAATATATAAATGAAAAAAATTCGCGTTTTTTTTTTATTATATACCGTTACACAATTATGTTAATTATGTTTTAGGGTGTCCAGAAATATGTGGTGGTAAATCTCAAAATATTTTTTTTTTTTTTTTTTTTTTAACGATGTGGTACTGTTGTAAGTTTATTAGATTATGTATAAAATATTACAAATTTAAATTAAAATAAAGTAAGATAAAAATAAAGTAAAAACATAAAAACTAAACTACAACTATCTCTCGTGATTCTGTTTCAAACCCGTTAAGATTGACCAATCACCGGAAAAACTCTCCATATAAACCAAGAGAAAAAAAATTCTAATGATATATACATCAATGAGAAATTCAAATGACGTATCAGTACCGATCTAAAAATCCGACCAAGAGAAACCAAATTTCAAGGCCGAAAGGATCCAAATTTTCCAAGTATCTGAAGTTCTTTTCACTGTATTATGGTTAGGAGGTTGTTTTAATTTGACCTTCTTTTTCTTGACTCTAGTTGTAATGCCTTTCTTCTTTTCAGTTTCAACCATTAAGTTACACCTAGGTATCCAAATTTGTTCATGGAAAGAGGAAAGGATAAAATTAGAGGCTTCAATGATGATCGAACGTGTGGTAGACTGAGAAAAAATTTTTTCAATCAAATGTGACAATCTGGCAGGGATGATCCCTCTTGCTATGGATATACATTTATCCAAGTTAAGATCAGGGTCAAGTAGATCCATGAGTTGTTGTCGGATGGTATTTTGGTAGAATGAAAGTCGAGATCTATTCCTCTCAAGTAAAGTATTAATATTAGTGTCTAAATGGTGTTGTAAGGATCGACAAATTCTTTCAATATCATCTATTCTAGTAGGACAAGTCCAAAGATGGTGATAATCTTCTTTGTTTGTATGACAAAAGGTACAATGCCAATTTTTATATAAATCAGGACGCCAAATCGACAAGTTAGCTATTGTTGGAAGGTCGTTTGATAGAGATTTTATTTTAAAAGCTTTTCTGTTTCGCTGTGCGAAAGAGGTGATAAAATCTGAGTCCTTTTTGTTCGAAGATAAAAAGTTGAAAGAAGTGGGCCAGTTAACTTTGGAAGAACGGGTTTCGGCTTTAATTGTGTTGTTTCTATTTAAGTCAAGAAAATTTGAGAATTGTGATGCAGCATTTAGGGCTTTCCAAAATTTCCGTGAGGACGATTCTATTGGTACTGATTGGAAAGAAAGTAGTAACTGAAGATCGTCGTAAACAGTATAGTTCAACGAAAGTGGTGGTTTAAAGCGTCCAGCTTTTGCTAATGCATCCGCTTTATCATTATGAATGTCTCCTGAGTGTCCTTTAATTTTTATTAATTTCACAGTGAGATGTAGGTCATTGATCAGGTGGTGAATCAGGATCCAAACTGTATAGTTAGGAACTTTTTCATGTGATCTTGTTGTAAAAGTTTTCCTGTTGATGAAATTGTCAAATGCGTCGATAACTGCTTGGCTATCTAAGAAAATACTAGGAGCTGAATGGGGTGGACAAATGATCAGTGCTGAAAAAAGAGCAAAAAGTTCAGCTCTAGTTGAAGAGGGTGAATTGAGAACAGCCTCCGCAAATGAGTTTGGGTTATCAACAGCTAGGTCCGGGCAGATCCATCCAAAGCCCATTTTGCAATCTTCTGAACTTGGGTCAGATAATGAACCATCAGTATAGAATGTAGGTGTAATTAGATGGTTGCAAGCCTTTGCTAAAATAATAAGCTCATCTTGATATCTGATGTTGGTAATGCATTCTCTAATAACCTTTTCGTTTAGATTTATTACAGAGGTGATTGGTAGTGAAAGAGTAGAGGATGCAGAAAATGAGTTGTTAGATGAGGAGAGTTGTCTTCTAATCTGTTTACGTCTGAGCCTGTTTTGGTGTAAGGCAATTGAAGTCTCAGGAGTCTGGTTCATGATGAAGGATGATTTTTTAACAGGGTGAGCTCTTTGGTCTTTGATTAGGGCTATTGCTGTAGTGGCGTTGTATCCATGAACGCACGTAGCATTCGGAAGAGGTCCAAAGACGTTTCTAAGTTTCTGTGGAGGTTTCCTACACATCTTCAAAAGAGATGCGTTATTAAGCTCACATCCGTTGCATTGAACGATTGATTTAGAGTTGAGATTGTCATTAAGATCTGAGTGATAATCTGCTTTAATGAAGTGTTGAACTACGACGTTGTTTTGGTGTTTCATTTTTCTCAAGATTCTTTCAGTGATGGTTTGATCTAAAACAGAATGATGAATAGTGACGAATTCACGTTTTCTATTTTCTAAGTTAATATCTAAACTATTACTGTCTACATAAGAAAAATTGGTATTAACTAACCTAAAACTACTACTAATAAGGTTACTATCTAGAGAATCCAAAATTTTTGAAGAAACTACTTTATAAATATTAGGAAGTCGACCATTTTTTGAAACGTGTTTATAACAAGGTCGGTTAGTGATCTCGTGCTAATCCAACAGTTGTGTGTCTTCTTCATCCAAAAATTGATCTAAGTATATTAAGTTGAACTTCTGAAGGATCATATGATTCTGTTCCAGCTCATTGAAGGGGATAATGGAGTCAAGAGGGCGGGATCCACCTTTAATAATATTATGTAATGAACGGTGTACAGAACAGGAAATGTCTGAGTTATTATGTTTAAGTAGACTAAGAGTAGCTCCAATCAAGTTGAAATATGATTTTT